TGTACTCTCGAAGTGTACGCACCTATCTAGCCTGTAGTAACATATGAATATATGTTTGACACAGGGAAAGTATATCAGCGGTCAGTATTTGGGGCCTCAATAACATGTACGGTCAATGACACGATATAAACAATGAGTATTAGCGAGTTCGCAACAGGCCTCTGGATATGATTAGAAGTACTCTTTCTTGTAATGGTATTCGTTTGTTGCCACTTTTTCTGTAAGGCTATATTTTAAAGCTACTTTGTAATATAAGGGTCCTAAATATTTGTACTTTTTCACATAAGGGTATTATTGGGTTGAGAAAAGCCCTTAGGATCTTTCGAGAGACTAAGTCCCACTTGTACAAGATGCTTGAGTAGTGCAGCGGAAGTGTTGAGTAGTTGAACCCTTGCACTAGTATGTGAGAGCAAGTGATTGATTAAAAAGAAACAAGCATACAGCAATATATAGAAAATAAAAGATGAAGCAGTTGTAGAATACAGTTGAAGGAACGGTTATCGAGTCGCACAGCGACTCGATTGTCGGTTCGGTTACCACCCTTGTAGTTGTAACGGTCAGTCGCAACCTCCGGTTGCGACCCCTTGAGACCCTTCGTCATTTCGTGTTCTTTCGTCCAACCCATTCATGTAACCTCCGTTGACTCGCGTACTCGATACAACTTTCCTCGAGTGTAGTGTTACACTTCAGAAACGCTTAAGTCTTCGAGGTATTTCCAACACTCCCCTTCGTTTCTGGAGTGCCGACGTGTCCGGATTCGGTGACGTTTATCTGCCTGGTCAGCAGCATGCAGTAATCGAACTTTGCCTTCACCAGTTTCTTCGTCAGGTAATCTGCAGCCATTTCTGTCGTGGGGCAGTAACTGAGTTGAAGTCTCCCCTTCGCGATTTCATCCTTGACGAAGAAATACCGCAGGGCGATGTGCTTGGTTCTGTTGACGAACCCGTTTTTGTTCGCGATTTTGATCGCGGATTGGTTGTCGCAGAATAAAGAGAAGGCGGGCATGGTCGTAATTATCGCTTCCTCGAGCAGCTTCTGTAGGTAAAGTCCCTCTTTGGTCGCAGAGCAGAGGGCGATGTATTCCGCTTCAGCCGAGGATAGCGCAATTAGTTCCTGCTTGCTCGATTGCCAAGAGATAGTCCCGATAGGCTCTAGCCGGTAGATGTAGCCCGTTCTGGAGCGACGGTTCTCCCTATCTCCCGCGTGGTCGGCGTCGACGTAATCGAGTAGTTGTACGGAAGATGGCGTTACTTTGCTGTAGGTAAGTCCGGTCGTTGGCGTAGAGACGAAGTAGAGCAGTGCCCGATTTAGCTCCTCGAGATCCTCTTGCTCCGGCTGTTTCAAGTGTGTCGCCAGTTGGCTCGCGCTGTAGGACAGATCCGGTCGGCAGGTTACTGCAGCGAACAGTAGACAGCCGAGCTTTTGTTGATTTTCCTGGATTTGCTTCGCGGGGAGCTTTGGGGAGGTATTGCTGTTGTTCCCGTAGTGATAGGGAGTCGCGACTGCGACTGGCGTTAGTCCGAATTTCTTCGCGACGACGCCTGCGTACTTTCCGGCGAGTAGGTAGAGCGCCGGGTCGTCTTCGACGACGTTCAGACCTAGGTACTGGCTCACGGTGTTCGACACCGTGAGTGTTAAGTCACTCCTCAGCTCCCCTTTGAACCAGGTGACGACGTCAGTAGTGGAGCCAACGTAGAGCAGGTCATCGACGTAGATGATAAGTAGGACGAACCCCTTCTGTAGTCGGTACATCCCTTGATCGTGCGGCAGCTGCAAGAAACCGATCCTGACGAGGCGGTCGTGAAGGTGCTGCTGCCAGAGCCGCGGGGCTTGTTTGATTCCGTAGAGGGATTTTACCAGCTGGCACACTTTTGTGGGATCGTCGCTGAATCCGTGCGGCTGCTCGACGAAGATTTCGGCGTCCACAGGTGCGTACAGGAAGGCGTTGGCGACATCGATTTGGCGCAGTGGTAGCCTTTTCGTGGCCGCGACGGTGAGCAGAATGCGCAGGGAGGTATGTTGGGAGACTGGGGCGAATGTCTCCGTGTAGTCGGTTCCGTATTGCTGGTCAAAGCCTCGTACGACCCAGCGAGCCTTGAAGCGGTCGATGGAGCCATCCGCATTAGTCTTGATGCGGTACACCCATTTCCCCAAGAGCACATTCTTCCCGTTGGTTTTGGTTGTAGGTACCAGTTTCCACGTATTTCGGTCTTGCAGGGCCTTCAGTTCTTTTTCCATTGCTTCCTTCCACTTTGCCTTGTGTTCCTCCCCCAGAGCCTGCGACAGAGTTGTTGGCTCGCGCGGTGACGGCGACGGCGGGCTCTGGACGACGACCCATAGTCCAAGTATCCGCAGGCCCGTGGGTGTGTGTCGAGGGGAGTTGTCATTCGCGGGATTAGCTGCTTCGTCACCATCTTCGGGATCAGGTAAGAAATTTGGTCCGATGTGTTTAGAGACATTTGTGTCGACCGTTTGAGGTGTAGCGTAACCCTGGTCAGCGAAGTGGTAATAGGTGTCGATATTGTTACTATCGAGAGGATTGTCATCGTCGAGTGGAACGGGCACGGAGTAGTAAGGGAGTGTACTGAACGTTTTCTTCCGAGGCTTCAGGTAGTCCCCACCATGCTCGTTGAGAGAATTGACCTGCTCGTGCTGTGTGGGGTCTGTACTGTACCATGCAGCCGAAGACTCGGAGTAATTTTGTGCTGCCTTGTTTTCCTGTCCACAGCAGGTGTGGTGATGCGCTGTTGGGAAGTGATGACGAGGACAGTAAATTGTGCAGGTGGACTGCATGCGTCATCGCGTCAGGCCAAAGCGTGTTGGGCAGTCTCATCCCCAGGAGTAGCTTCCGCATCGTCGTCTGCAAGGTTTTGTTCATCCTCTCTGCGACCCCCTGCTGCACGTGAGCGTAGGGCAGGGACACCAAACGTCTGATGCCTCTTTCGGCCAAGTAGTTCCTGAATCGTTGTGACTGGTACTCCAGTGCTCCATCTGATTGGAAACTTTTTTGTTGCGAGCTCGATTCTCGTTCAGTGATGAGGAGCCACGTTGTGAAGGCTTCGAACGCTTGATCTTGTGTCTTGAGATTGTAGTGCCAGACGTATCATGTTGCTGCGTCGATGAACGTGATGACATAGTTGTACTCTGCTTCACTGTCGTCTCGAGGCATATTTAAGATGTCGCTGTAGACTTTTTCCATCGGTGCGTATGCAGGTGCGCTTGGATTGTGGTGCGACGGAAAAGGTTGGTGGGGAAGATCAGCTTCGGGACACGTGAAGCATCGTGCGCGGGTTCGTCGAAGCTCCTGGCCGCTCGTTGTGAGAAGAGCGTCCTTTTCTAATACTCCGGCTTGTATGGTTTGTAGTACTGTGCTGTTTGCAGGGTGTCCGAGGCATTGGTGCCAGATGTCGTCGGGAGCGCGATGGCCGGGTGAGCGCTGGTACATGTCGGCGTTGGAGAAGAACGCGACGACCGTGGCGGGACTGCGGCAGACTCCTCGGGTGATGGGCATGAGTTGATCTGCTTGGGATGGCGGTCCTCGGATTGCTGGTGATGGTGCATGGCTGGGTCTTGCTGCTGCTACTACAGGTGATGTCGGGTGAGGGACGCTTGCTGGTACTTGTCGTTCTTGTCGGATGACTGCTAATGCTCGTGTTCTCTCTGCTGCAGGGATGGTGTTGGAGTACCAAAATCCGTCTGGAGTGAAGTCGAGGTCAAGATCTGGCGGATGCGTCCAGGCGGCGAATGACACGATGCTGTCACTGTCGGCAGTTTCGCGGTCGGGGACGAAGTCCAGCATGAAGACGCCCGTCTTCAGGAGAGCGCGACCGATGAAGAGGCCGCCCTTCCCGTGGTAAAGTCGAAACTCGTTGATGTCCGAGTCGCATTCAAGGTGAATTCCCTTTGCCATTAACTGGCTGACACTTAGTAGATTGTATCCCAAGTTGTCGACGATGAGAGCTTTGTTGAGTTGCAGTATGACGTTTGTCTCCATTGACTGAAGTTGAACCACTCCTTGTCTATTAGTTTTCAGGTTCTCGTTGTTAGCGACGATGATGATGACATCGCAGTTCAGGCGTCGCTCCCGTTGCACGAAGCGCCCGGAAGAACACATGTGTTGGCCGCAGCAACTGTCCAAGAACCAGGTGTTTCGTCCAGTGGGTTCGGCGTTGGCGACTGCAGCATACGTGGGGTTGACTTGAAGACCTTGTGAGCGTGGCGGCGGCAGTTCTTGTTCGTCTGGAGCGTAAGTGGGTGGTGACTCGGGTCTGCAGCTGTCGATCCATACCATGCAGTTGATGATGTTTGGTGTGTCTCGTGCAGGTGTAGAGGAGCGGCTTGGCGGATTCTCTTGAGTGGAGGCGACTTGCGAATCTGCTGGACGATAAACTCGAGGGCGCGTACAGTTAACCTTGGAGTGTCCCGATGTCTGGCAATTGTGGCAGAACAGCGGCACGATGGTGAGACCTCTTGTGTCATATCGATTCTGCTTATCGCGTCGGTTGTAGTTGTTGTCGTTTCTTTTTTGAGTGTAGAAGACTAATGGCTGCTGCTTGTTCCGTGGTTGTCTTTCTTCAAACAGGTCCATCTCCTGTTGTTCAGCATGAAGCTCGACGCAGAGGTGCATTTCGGAAATTCGTCCGTGGGCGCGAAGAAGCGAGTGGATGGTTCTCCATTCTGGCCCGAGCCCGGCGGGGATAAGTGTCACGAAGCTTTCTTCAGTTATTGTACCTCCGCACCGAAGCAGGCGGTCGCGGAGGGTCTGGCAGCGACTCATATATTGCATCGCCTTTTCCCCGGTTTTCATTTGTATTGTGGTCAACTGCTGCATGAGTCTGCTTTGTGTCCCGCTGTCGTTTGCTTGATAGAGACACTTCAGATGATGCCAGGCGAGCTCCGCGGAGTTTCCGTAGCTCCGATACGTTCTGATGCTCTGTTGCTCTTGTGGTGACAGATTTCGCAGGAGAACAGTGTATGCCAGCAGCGACTGATAAGTGAAG